TTTATGTCTACCACCTTCGATAGTAGGAATGAATTATATGGCAATTGTCATGGGTGCAACAAGGTCATTAGTCTTAAAGTCTCAAGATTTGGTCACATTCAAGCCAGAAATAGGTGTGAAATATTGTTTTCATAGCCAAGCTGTGAAGAATTGCTTGCCTAAAGGATTTCATCTTACATCCGCACCTAACTGGTACATAAATTATCATACTTATGGTTTGACAACATGTTCAATAGCCTCGGATATTTCGACCATGCCATGAGGAGTTGATCAGATCAGTCATGAAGAATAAGCTTTATTTGTGTTATATATAGTTTGCTTCAAACTATATATGTGTTAGCACCTACAAACAAAATAGCAAGTTCAAATCAAGAATAAGAACACACAAATATATTTATTTCGGTCCAATTCAAAATAGTCTACTCCAAACCTAATCCACTATCAAATAAATCTCTATAATTGATAAACTTTTAGAATGAGAAAAGTCACCAAAAACTTCTTACTTAAAACTTAACCCAAAACTCAATTACACCCTTTTAATAGCCTATTCACTTAGTTATTCTTTTGGTATCTAATTATTTGAGATTACTAAACTAAAACTAAAAACATCTTATTTATAAAGGTGAAACCTTTATAACTTTACTAAACTTCGATGTAGGATACAAGACAAACTCTCAACTCTTATAACTTTACTCAATTTTTGATATGGGATTATGAGATTCAAGGCAAATCCTAATAAATCTTTCTTTGACTTGAATTTCCAAACACTTTAACAATATCTGTAAAGCTAACATGCTTGCCTTTTTTCTTATCTTTCATAATAGGAATCCCAGCAACTGAGCCTCCATCAAACATGTACAAGTGATCTTTGACCTTATTCCCTTGTAGAATCACACTACCATTCTTGTACACTTTCAACGAATCATTACTACCATAGTATGTGTACCATCGAGAAGCTAACTCACCTAAATTAATTAAATTATAACTATAACTTGGTACATACCTTACATGACGAATTGTCTTGATAACACCATTATGAGATCTAAGGTAAACACTCCCAATGCCTTGAATATGCACCTTTTTGTTGTTAGTAACCACAATATCTATATACTTCTCATTCTCATCCAACTCCACAAAGCAACTCATATCATTGCAAATATGAACTGTAGCAACAAAATCTAAAACCCAATTTTTATCACCTTTCAAAGTCTGAGTCTCATTTATATAAGTCATAAAAATGATATCATCATCATCAAATACAATCGTAGCAATATCACTATTTCTTTTAACTAATTTTTTTCATCATTTATTGTTTTGAAAATAGCCATATCCCTCCTCAACTTTTTAAAACACACTTAGATATGTCCTTTTTCATCACAATAATAACATTCTATATCACTATAATCTCTGTCTCTTGACTTGGATCTCATTTTTAATCCATCAATCCTCTTTTGACTCCTCATTTGATCAAAACTCTATACAGCTAATGTACTCTCCCTAGGTGATGAATTTTGTGTTCCCATAAACCTTTCGTTTTCATGTAATAGGATAGTCACATTATCCAACTTCAAAGTAGACCTACCCACCAACAAAGTCTAAACCAAAGTCTATAAGACTTGGGTAAAGATGTTAGCAAAATTAAAACTTTCTCTTCATTTTTTAACTCATCCATAAAAATCGTCAGTAATTGAGAAAGTAATCTATTAAACTTATTCAAATGATTATGAAGACTCGTACCTTCTTTCATTTTCAAAAAATACAGATCAATCTTCAAACATAATTTGTTGTCAATGACTTCGATGCGTAAATACCCTCAAGCTTATCCTATAAATTATTTAGAGTACTTTTAGTCAACACATTATACTTTACCTCTAGGGCTAATGCCAATCTAATAGTACTAATAACTTTTTTTTAATTTTATTTCAATTACTGCTAGACATTCACTCAAGCTTATTACTCTCTAATGCTTGATCCAACCCTTGTTGTACTAACAAATCTTGAATCGTACTTTACCGTAACATGAAGTTACTCTTTTCATCAAATAATGGAATCTCAAACTTAGGCATAGGTATACTAGATATATCTTCTTTAGACATCTTAAAATACTTGTTTCACGATCTCTTGGGTCTGCCTCTTCTTCCTGCGAATCTCAAACCTCGAACCTCGCCTGATACCACTTGTTCGGGATCACCACAACTTTGATATCACTTGTTGAAAAATTAACACACATATGTAGCACCCACAAACAAAATAGCAAACTCAAATTAAGAATAAGAACACACAAATATATTTGTTTCAGCCCAACTCAAAATGACTTACTCCAAACCTAATCCACTATCAAATAAATCTTTACAATTAAGAAACTTTTGGAATGAGAAAAGTCACCAAAAGCTCCTTACTCAAGACCCAATTATATCCTTTTAATAGCCTACTCACTTAGCTATTTTTTGGTGTCTAACTATCTAGGATTACTAAACTAAAACCCAAACATCTTTTTTTTAATGATGAAACCCTTTATAACTTTACTAAACTCTCGATGTGGAATATAAGATAAACTCTCAACTCTTATAACTTTACTTAACTTTTGATGTGAGATTATAAAATTCAAGGCAAATCTCAACGATATGTATGTGGTCAATAGGATTTTAGGGTTATAGGATAAGTGATAGGAAGAAGAAATTAATGGAGATGTAAGTGGATATGATTAATATTTGGTGAAGTATATCATAAGGAATTCAAAAATGAAGTTCCCTTTAATTTTCTTCACCTTTCTTAATTTAGGATATTGAATTTGTTTGAATTTCTATTCTCACTATATATATATATATATATATATATATATTACAAAAGAAGTTGTAATGTGAAAATAAAGGAAGATTTTATGTATAGAAATTTATACTCAAACTTATTAGAAATAATTTCATATTTCATAGTACCTCTCTCGTTTTTTAATAACATTAATTTTGGTTCAACAACCATGAAAAATAATTATTTTAATCATAAAATTACAAAATCTCTAATATATATTAACCATATATGTCATCAATTGGAATAAACAATAAAAACAAATTTGACAATTACAAATTTAAATTGACATTGTTTGATTTTCTTTTTGAAAAAATTATTAGAAAATCAAACTTAAATTTTTTATACAAATTCATATTGTCCTTTTATTTTAAACCAAGCCTAATAATATCCCCTTATGAATCTAAATCCTAAACCCTTGTTGATAATGAAATTAAAAAGTTAATTAACAAAATATCATTATTTTAATGGCGTCTATCTCCAAATAAAAATGAAAAAAAAATAGGTTTTACCTTTGAGTTTAGACCATAAATTATCCACTAACCATTAATCCATTACATTAATAAAAGAATAAGAATGGCCAAAATCACAAATTGTATTTCTATATTCTGTTCTATATGATTTCTTTAAGATTTGGTTTACTAAATCGGTTTGGATCTGAGGCCCTTGAGCTCATTTAGGTCTTGTAAGTGTTAGCCCATCCAAGTTTAGATTGAGTTATATATCTGGCTAGACTAGACAGATGGGCCTTGCGGCTCATAACAGGTTTGGAACGGTATCAAAAATTTCCTTGTTAGGTATGAATTCAACGGTTCAACTTGGAAAGGGGGAACCAACCAGGTTTAGTGTCACGATGATCTTTTAGAAGAGTGATAAATCTTATATCAATTATATATTAAAATTGATTTTAAAATATTATTTTTAATTTATGAAATATTTTTGATAGGATCCAATTATAAAATTTAATGGGACAAACCAGATAATATTTTATAAATTAACGTGAATCGTAAAATTTAGTATCAAATTTTACTTTAAACTATTAGTAATTTAGATAATATTATATAAATTGGTGGCACTTATTGGAACGAGTGAAGATGATAATATATTCTAAAAAATTATGAATATCATATTGATTATATATTAAAATTGATCTTAAGATTTAAATATTACATCACTTTCAATTTGTAAAATATTTTTATAAGATAAAATCATTAGATATATTGAATTAAAAATAAATAATACTTCACAAATTAATATGAACCATAACACTATAACTTTCAACCTCAATGACATTTTCATTATATATCAACAAACCAAAATAGTTTTAAGTTATATATCAACCTACGAAAATAGTTTAAATAACTTAATTTGAAAATGGCATTTTCGTGTTCTTTAATTATTTATGTTTGTTAAATGATATATTTATTTTATTTTATTTTATTTTAATATGCTCAATATTTATTTAATTTGTTTAAGAAAATTGTAATAAACTTAATTAATAGAAAATATTATAATGTCTGTGAACAATAATTAAAAACATATATACATGGATAATAATTTAAGCATACTGTAAATGCAAAGTTTTAATCTTTTATAGAAGGAATACATACATATACATATATGTATTGAGTAAAAACAATACACATAGATAATAATTTTATTTGTTGAATACTGAAATAATTTTTCATTTTATATTACTTACTCTAGCTATATATATATATATATATATATGATTAAGTTTGAAAAGAAAATTAATTTTTTTAAATAAAAGAATTAAATCACTAATTAAAACAGAGATTCACATATAAAAAGTATATTTCACTGTCAATTTTGAAATAAAAAAAAAATTTAGAATCAAGTTTACTTATCTGTATCCAATCAATTTGCAATTTTATGTATTAATTTATAGTAGTAGTAGTTAACTATCGTATGGTTGTTGGCTATACTATCATGGGTCCAAGCATTCGCATTGCATTTTAATGTAAATGGAACAAATAAGATATAATATTTTCATGGAAATTCTGTGCAATTCATCGACTTGTAAACGTTGTTTTTGGTCAACGAATTCCCATTGCAGTATTAAGCCTTCCCTTCGCAAAAACCCTTTCTTCATCTTTCATCTAATTTCACTGTCTGTTGTTTGCGTTCAATTCCGTTTTGATCTTTTTTAAATCCTTTCTTTGCATAAAAAAACCATGGCGGGGGAGTTAGTGGGTGGAGCTTTTCTCTCTGCGACCCTTCAAGTTGTTTTCGACAGGATGGCTTCTCAAGAGGTTGTGGATTTCATTAGGGGAAAGAAACTGGAAAAGGAACTGCTGAAGAAACTGAAGCCAGCCCTGATGTCCGTTAAAGCGGTGCTGGATGATGCTGAAGTCAAGCAGATTGTCAACCCACATGTCAAAGGTTGGGTTGCTGAGCTCAAAGATGCTGTTTATGATGCGGAGGACCTCCTCGATGAGATCGCTTCGAAACAGGTTGGAAGCTGAGGATCGAACCACTTGAGCAAAGGTAAGTCGCCTTATCACTTCTCTGAATCCTTTCAACAGGGACATAGATTCAAAGCTCGAAGATATCCTTGAGAGACTACAATCTCTAGTCAACCAAAAAGATATCCTCGGTTTGAAAGAATTTAGAGGAGAAAAGGCATTTCCAAGATCCCCTGCAACTTCTTTGGTGGATGAATTTGGTGTTTATGGCAGAGATGATGAAAAAGAAGCAATAATGAAGTTGTTGTACCCAGATTATCCAACTGAAAATCAGATAGATGTGATTCCAATAGTGGATTAACCACCCTTGCACAACTGATTTACAATGATAAGAGAGTGGAGGAATGGTTTGAACTCAAAGCATGGGTGTGTGTTTCAGAAGAATTTTATGCTCTCAGGGTGACCAAAATCATTCTTGAAGAGATCACTTCTACTGTTGATGTTAGTAAGAACCTAAACCAGCTTCAACTTCAACTGAAGGAGAAGCTATTGGGAAAGAATTTTTTATTTGTTTTAGATGATGTTTGGCATAGGAGATATGTTGACTGGGAAGAATTGAAAAGTTCTTTCACTTATGGGGCAAAGAAGAGCAAGATTATTATAACAACGCGTGATGAAAACGTTGCATCAATCATGAGGAGCGTTCCAACTTATCATCCTAGTATCTTATCTGATGATGATTGTTGGCGACTATTCGCAAAACTTGCATTTGTCAATACAAGCCCAACCGTGCATCCACAATTGAAGGTAATTGGTGAAGCAATTGTCAAAAGATGCAAAGGCCTCCCTCTAGCAGCAAAAGCACTTGGAGGTCTTCTGCGTTGTGAGTTGGACGCTGATGAATGGAATAAAATATTAAAGAGCAATTTATGGGACATAACAGACGATATTCTTCCACTACTACGATTAAGTTATTACTATCTTCCTTCACATTTGAAGTGTTGCTTTGCATATTGTCCACTTTTTCCCAAAGATTATGAATTCAAAAAGGAAGAGCTCATTCAATTATGGATGGCTGAAGGTCTTTTACAGTTTTCCAAAGAAAATGGCAATGCAGAAGAACGAGGTGATGAGTACTTCAAAGATTTAGTATTGAGGTCATTTTTCCAACAATCAAGAGGGAATAAAGTTTGTTTTGTCATGCATGATCTAATTAGTGACTTTGGCTAAATCAATATCTGAAGATTTTTTTTGCAGATTGGAAGGTAACGGTGATTTATGTGAAACAAGTAAAAAAGACTCGTCATTTATCCAATATCCAAGAAAAATATGATGTGCTTAAGAAATTTGAGACATTATCCAAAGCACAAAGTTTGGGAACATTCCTAACTTTAGAGTCTTTTACATGGTCTTCTTATATCAGCCATCAGATATCGCATGATTTGCTAGTAAAATTTAGATGCTTACGAGTATTTTCTTTGGCTAATCACCGTAATATCAATGAGTTACCAGAAAAAATTGGTAATTTAAAACATTTGCGATATTTAAACCTATCGGGAACTTCAATTAAAGGGTTGCCAAACTCTTTGAGTACAATGTGCTATTTGCAAACATTAATATTGTTTAGATGCTTCAACATTGTTGAGTTGCCCAAAGACATGGAAAAATTGATCAACTTGCAACATCTCAATATTCGGGAAACAAAGTTAGTAAGGATGCCACAAGGAATGGACAAACTGAAAGATCTTTGGACATTGACAGATTTTGTTTTAGGCAAGCAAAATGGTTCAAGCATTAATGAGTTGGGAAAGCTGGAGCATCTATGTGGAAGACTTGCCATTTCAGGTTTGCAAAATATTGTGTTTGCGAGGGATGCCAAAGACGCCAATTTGAAGAATAAGATGAACCTTAAGGAGTTGGAGTTGATATGGAGTGAGGATGATCTTATTGATGGTGATTCAAAGCATGATGGTGAAGTACTTGAACTGCTGGAGCCTCATACAAACTTGGAGCATCTTTTCATTATGTTCTACTAAGGTACAAGATTTCCTGAATGGGTGGGGTGTTCTTCCTTCTCAAATTTAGTATCTTTGCGGTTAATGAATTGCAAATTTTGCCTCTCCTTGCCACCGCTTGGGCAATTATCATCTTTGAAATCTCTGTTAATTAAAGGGTTTGCGGGAGTAGTGACTGTCGGTGATGAGTTCTATGGGCACTGTGATGCTTCAAGTAAACCGTTTGGATCTCTTGAATTTGTAAGCTTTGAGGATATGGCAGAGTGGGAAGAATGGTATTGTTGGAGAGATGAAGCTTTCCGTCTTCTCCAAGAGTTATACATAGAAAATTGTGCCAAGTTAACCAAGTCTCTGCCCAAGCACCTCCCTTCATTAACAAAACTTAAGATTAAAAACTGTGGAAATCTTGGAGGCTTTCTTCCAAGGGCACCAAGCATTTGCGAACCTGAGTTACGAATATGTGACGCAGTGCAATTAGAGCCATTGCCTTGTGGGCTTCGAGAGTTGCGTATTGATGGCTCAAATATCAATGATTCCATATTGGAGAGGATGACGCAACACTGCACTCGTCTTGAAAAGTTAACTATGTGGAATTGTTCTAATCTCAGATCCTTTCCTGAAGGTAATCTTCCTATCACTCTGAAGCAATTGAACATTCAAACGTGTGATGTCTTGGATTATTCCAAAGTCCTCTTGCATACATCCCTTGAATCCTTGGACATAGTAGGCGGGAGGTGTCATCCACTAATATCCTTTCCAGTAGGATCATTCCTTATGCTAAATCGTCTTTTTATCTGGTCATGCGAGGACTTAAAGTCGATTGGTGCATTAGGGGTTCCTCACCAGAATCTCACATGTCTCAATGCTTTGAACATCTGTGACTGCCCTAATTTTGTATCTTTTGGAATTGAAGAGGGATTATCTGCCACCAATTTAACGTCACTTGTGCTTTCAAACTGCGAAATTTTGAAGTCATTGCCAGAGCATATGAACTCGCTCTTTCCACCCCTTGAATACTTGGGGATAAACCATTGTCCAAAAATAGTCATTTCCAAGAGAGGGTTTGCCCTCCAAATTAAAAGCTTTTTCTATCTCAGGAAGTGATATGCTGATTGCGGCCATGACGAGGAGGAGGACGGAGTGGAGTTTGCAATCACTCCTTCACTCACAAGCTTCGAAATCTATGCTGCAAGAGAGATAGGGTGTTTTCCAGACGAACATCTGCTGCCCTCTTCTCTTACTTAATTATCTTCGGATATGCTATCTTCGAAATCTTAAGCTTTTGAACTACAATGGCCTTCAACACCTCACCTCTCTCCGCGAATTGAGAATCGACAGCTGCCCAACACTCCAATCCATGCCAGCAAATAGGCTTCCTGACTCTCTTTCTTGTTTGTTCATTTATGATTGTCCTTTGCTGTAAAAACGTTGCGAAAGGAGAAAGGTAAAGATTGGCCCAACATTTCCCACATCCCTGTCATTGGAATTAACGATGAAGTCATTCTTTAGCAACACTCAGCTACTCCACCATTCTCTATTTATTGATTTTTCCTTTTTAAAAATACGCAATTCGTCTCAACCCTCAGATATTACTACTGCTCGTCTTTGCTATTTGCAAAGTAAAGCTGCGGATTGTGTTTTGTTACTTTTTGTATTCCAATTTTATTATTTATTTAATTCATTGTTCTTCAATCTTCATGAAACTTAAAGGGTGAAAATTACTTTCATGAAATTTAAGATTGCATTGATAAATTTACATTTTAGAAGATGAATTTAGATTTTAAATTTAATAGAAATTATCTTGTGAATATATGAATTGTATAATTACAACAAATCAAATTGACATTTATCCAAAAAAAAAAAAACTAAATTGACCCTCATCCTGACATTCAAATTCACGATGAAATCATTCTGTGGTCAGACCCAGAAGCCAAGTTTCAATGAATCCCTTTGCCATAATATTTGGGTCAGGTACTCCATTCATTTTTTTATGTATTTATTTATTGATGTTTTTTTTAAAAAAATTCTTTGTTGAGCTTTCTATACTTTTCCTTTTAATTGTTACTTTTTTTTTTTTTTGTGTTTTAGGTTATTTGCTGTGAATTGTGTGTTTATTTTTTATCTTTCTTTTCTCTCTTTGCCCATAGTTTTGTAGTCAATGAAATATTTCTCTTGTTGTTGTAGCAATTTATGATTTGTTGAATTATGTTTTTCTTTATTTATTTTATAATTCCGGGGTTAATGATGCTTAATTTGCTGCAAGTTGTTTTACAGCCTTCCAACACCCTTCTTTTGAGTGTCAGTTGCAAATTCTAATTTACGATTCCCATTCGAATTTGTTGTTCCTGTCACATGATTTGTTTTAGCCTGGAGATTCATGACTTCTTTTCTATCCCAGAATTATCTGCTTGAAAGTTTTCAATACTTCGATGGCTTGGCATCCTGCTCTGCATATTTTGTTTCAAAGTTGGATTTCCTAGAGCTGCAAGGATGATGTGCTCAAGTTTAAACTCAATAAAGAAAAAGGATTTCAATTCCTTCCTTCTCTTGTACAGTTATGAAATCAGTGGCTACAATATTCTTTAGTTTATACCAGAGGCGCTGTCCTCCTCACCATAATGATTCGTTCAGTGTTGACGAGTCAAATAACTCGAACACTTGTTCCCCTTGAAAGAGGTCTCCATTGAAGGTTTTCCTGAGTAGTAACTGTGGATCCTAACTTTGCTGGGTATGTTCTTTAAGCAACTAAGCCATCTTAGATTGCATCAAATTTTAGTTTCGTTTGGAAATCTACATTTGAGAAGATGGATTTGGATATAAAATATAGTAGAAATTATGTGGCAGTGCTCATGAATATATGAGTTATATAGTTACACTCATATACATGGATTTATAAACTTTCTCTTGAATCTCTTAAATGTAATGACTATACTCATCCTCACAAAAATGAATAGCAAATAAAATTCAAATGCATCCTCTCAAACAATTATTTTCAAATGAAGCATTAAGGTTTTAACAAATCCTGAAATGCCAAGAACAGGTTTATCTGAAAACAACGAAGAATGTGGGGTCATACTCTCATCTTGGAGAACGTTACTTAAATAAGCTAATTGAGGTCTTATCCTTTCAATGAAACTTGAGAATAATGATTGAGGACAGTTTGTGGGTTAACTTCCGCAGCAATCCATGAATTTAAGTTGGTTCAATTTGATTCGTTGCCTCTTGAGGGACTGCTTTGTCACAAGGTGTAAAGTAGCATTTCCATTTTTCCCAACTTAATGCGCCTTTGGGTTATTTGCATCTTCTGGAACTTCTTTCATGCAGCCAGAGATGGCAGCTCAATTTGTGTTTGATGGGTTTCGATCCGATTTGATCTTTTAGGATCAATTTTTTTTTTAAATCAGGTTTTAGGTTGAATAATTGTAAAATAAAATCGGAGTCAAGTTTTAAGTAAACCACCCCGACCCAATCTAATATATATATAATTATTTTTAATTAATTATTTAATTTTATATTTATATTAAAAAATAATATTTTATATTTTAAAAATAATATTTTATTAATTTTTGGTCGAGTCAGATCGATGATGGTTTTACATAATATTCGATTGGATCGGGATTTGGGTATTAAAAAACAAAAAAATCATCGAGTCCAATCAAGTTGAGTATTATAGATATATAGTCGAATTGGATTGAGGGTGAGTAAAAACCCATTCCAATCCAACGAATTGCCATCCCTACATGTAACATGTATTTGGCATATTGCAAATACTGACCATTGTTGTTACTTATCTCTTGAACTTTTAACAGGTTTTTTATTCTTATGTTCTTGCCAGATTTGAGGCTTTTTGCAACCATTTTGTTTTAGTGACTGATCCATAAGCATGGCATTAACCTTAATTTCTTGTAATCTTTTTAAAGACTTGCTAGCCTGCTATGTTTAACACATTTTTCATATTGTTGTAAACTAAAAGGTTAATGAAGGAGAAACTGTTTTTTTCAAATATGAGGTAAAAACAAGTAGCTTTTCTTTCTTTTTTCCTTTTAATTCCAGCTTATATGATGGATCAAAAAATTTATCAGATCAATCAAACCCTTTTAATTTCAACAGGGTGTCTAGTCTGTCCCGATGAGTCATCCGATTTAGTCGATCTAATCTGAAGTTCATCCGGTTTGACCAGTTGGATGGCATTAAATGAGGAGAAAAGTAGTTTGAGAGGAAAAGTTTAAAAAAGGAAGAC